ACATTATATTCTACACTTAGTAAATTTCACATGTACCCTTGTAAGATGCACCATAGGTGTGGTCCCACCAATTACCCTCCCTCCACCTATCCTCCCCCCTCCCCTCCCCTCCCTCTCCCCATTCCCCTTCTTCTTGGGCTATAATTGGGTTATAGCTTTCATATGAAAACTATAAATTGGTTTCATACTAAGACTGAGTACATTGGATACTTTTTCTTCCATTCTTGAGATACTTTGCTAAGAAGAATATGTTCCAGCTCCATCCATGTAAACATGTAAGAGGTAAAGTCTCCATCTTTCTTTAAGATGCTAAGCTCCCTAGGCACAGATTAGGGAGCATAATATTCCATGGTGTACATATACCACAATTTATTGATCCACTCATGGGTCCATGGGCATTTGGGCTTCTTCCATGACTTAGCAATTATGAATTGGACTGTAATAAACATTCTGGTACATATATCTTTGTTATAATGTGATTTTCGGTCTTCTGGATCTATACCTAGTAAAGGAATTGTAGGATCAAATGGCAGGTCCAAAATAGGATCTTCATTTTAAAGATGAATAAACCAGGCCGGACGTGGTGGCTCACGCCAGTAATCCTAACACACTGGGAGGTCAAGGCAGGTGGATTGCCTGAGCTCATGAGTTCGAGACCAGCCTGAGCCAGGGTGAGTCCTCATCTCTAAAAATAGCCAAGAGTTGTGGTAGGCCCCTGTAGTCCCAGCTACTCAGGAGCCTGAGGCAAGAGAATTGCTTGAGTCCGAGAGTTGGAGGTTGCTGTGAGCTGTGATGCCACAGCACTCTACTGAAGGTGACAAAGTGAACCTCTATCTCAGAAAAAAAAAAAAATCAAGAAACCAAAGCTCAGAGCATGAAATTACTTAACCAGGGACTCAAAGCCACTGTCAGATCCCAACGCTGACACAGCTACCTGACTCTATAGGTAGAGTGGAAATGTCTCAATCTAAAGACCAACTGGAGAGCCCAGTCAAGTAAGTGCCTTCCAGGCACTTTCCAGAGGAGGGGAGGAGGAGCAGTGGGGAGGGGGATGGAAGCCAGATGGAAAGGAAGGGAAGGGGAGGGGAGGGAAGGGGGATGGAAGGAGGGGAGGAAGGGGCCCTACATCTCTGCTTGGTGGTTCCTGACAAATCAGAGAATGATTCAAAGTTAGACAAGATCCCAAACAAGAGGCTCTTCCACTTTCCAGCCCAGCCAGTGCCTGCGATGACTGCCACTCTCCGCCCCTACCTGAGTGCCCTAAGGGCCACACCGCAGGCTGCCCTCTGCCTGGAAAACTCTTCCTCCCAAGTGGTGGAACGACACAACGAGACTGAAGTGGAAGTCAGGAGTAGCAAAAAACTCCTGTTACAACCTGTGACCATCAGCAGAAATGAAACAAAAAGATTCTGATTGAGGGCTCCATCAACCCTGCCCGGGTCAGCATCGCTGTGAAACAGGCTGATGACATTGAGAAGATTTTATGCCACAAGTGTATGTGCTTCATGATGATGTGAGCAGAGAACTTCTTTATCCTTCGAAGGAAACCAGGGGAGGGGAATGATATTAGTTTTCAGATCACCAACTTCCACACAGAGCAAATGTACAAACACAAGCTGGTAGACATTGTGATTCACTTCATGGAGAAGACTGATAAGGAGATCAGTGAGATGAAGCTGTCAGTCAATGCCCGTGCACGCACTGTGGCTGAGGAGTTCCTCAAGAACTTTTAAACCATCTGGCTGGAACTTGTGGCCTTCCCCCCTACTCCCCTGTGTTCGTGAAGGTGTCCTGGAGTCACTCCCCGGAGGACCAGCAGCAGCAGCAGCAGCAACAGTGGGGGTGGCAGCAGGGAGCTGGGTCAGGTGGGCGTTGGATGTGGGAGGGGGTGGTGTGCTTGCTACCTGTGCAAGAAATCAGCAGTGGACCTGCCTCAAGGCCACACATGCCTGGTCAGGCTGGCGCTGGCTTCTGATGTTCAGTCCCCTGGGCCGGGACAGATTTTTTTTAATGTCTTAAAACTTAACTCTGTGCTTGTAGGAGACTTTAACCTTTTTTTCTTTTTTCTTTTTTTTTTTAAAACAACCTCCACCTCCAGTGGCTCTGACTGGTCCCAGTGATTGTACCTAATTGGTCGCTGTGGGTCTGGGCAGGCCTGGAGCCAGAAGGCGACCACCTTACCTCCCCCATGCCACCCTGGGGTGGGGGGGGGTGGGCTCCAGCTCCTCTCCTTTATCCTTTTATTCCCAGGCCTCCTTGGGCCCAGTCTAACTGTGGGGACCCTCTGCCAGCTTCCTGAGGTTTGCCTAAAGATGGCCATCCAGCAATGGTTGGGGACAGGGCTGAATTGATGACCTCCAGTCATGGCTAGGGGTGGGAACTCAAAAGCCAGGCAACTTCTGGTTACAGCGACCATTTACAGCCCTCCCAGCTGAGAGGGGTCCCTGTTAGGCCTTGTCTGTCAGTGTGGTGCCTGCACTACAGGTAGAGAGATCAGCCCTCCTCCAGAACCTCCTGGCCAGGCCCTCCTCCTGCCTGCTCTGGCTCCTCTGCTCCCACGCCTGCTGTTCCTTTTCTGATTCTGGTGGATCCTCCCTCACCCAATTAAAATCTTTTCTTGTCCCTTTGGGGCTGCAAAAAAAAAAAAAAAAAAGATCCCAAACAAGAGAAAATAGAAATTAATGAACATAAGAACTATATGCAAAGATAAACTACTGAATTAGAAGATAACATTAGGATGTCTCATGAGAAACATTTACATTTGAATGAGATTAAATATATCTTGAGTGGACTGGTTCTTGGAGGCTCCATTCACTATAGGCTCCCTTGGTTGGTTTTCAGTAATTACTGACAAAGTTTAATCTCATAAAATCCAAAACTAACCAATAAACACTTGTGAACTGACTAGGTACACTGACTCTCAGGCCTACCAGGAGGCCTGAAGACAGGAGTTTACATGCTGTGCCTGGTGAAGGTTCTGCAGACTTTGTCTGACTTAATGCCAAGAAGATATCTAAAAATCCATCATGCTAGGAATAAACGTCAAACCAGTTTGTTATCTACAATCTGAGAGGCTGCACAGAGGTGCCTGAAGCAAAATCTTAAAAGTGAACAGTACTCTTCAGGGAGTGTAGTTACAAGCTTGTTGTCACAAGTCTTTTCAAAAGATAAGCTAACCCTGCTGATTTCACAAAAGCACATCTGACCAATAAAATAACTTCAGGACACTGGGACTGCTACCCAGTGAGGTCTTTATAACACTCGTCAGTACAAGACACTTTTAAAGCTGCTTCTGGGCTTCACTTCATCCTAAAGGATGAGCAGCCAGATTCTAATCACAAGGGGAAAGGAAGATGACCCTGGAAAGGCTTTCAAGGCTTTCTGCAACACACCCAGTACACGCAAGGGCAAAGCTTGTCTTCCCAGGACTGTCCTCCAGCCACTTGGCACAGCTTCCACGTCACTCCTCAGAGCACCTGCAGACGACTGTGGGCTTGGTGGGAATCGTTTGAAATACTGCTCAGTCACCCCACAGTCCCTCGGACTCTGCATTTGCCAAGGAATCTATACAATTTACTGTCCTAAAAAACTAACTGGGCCAACTTGCACTGTTTCTGTTAAATACAGTGTGTACTTCTTAAATAATGACATAAATAAGTATCCACAATCTTAAAATCTGAAAATACTTTGTAACAACAACATTACCGTATCCTAAGGATGCAATCGAAAACTGCACAGAACAGAGTCCCTAAGAGGTTTGTAACAGGATTATTGTAGAAGGATAAACAAACTCTCTCCCCACCATCTATCTCCCACAGTGGAGAACGGGGAAAGTAAACTTCTGTTAACCCATACATAAAAAGTTGTGACACCACAATCCAAAGTTATTTGGGGGAGGAGGATGATTTCTAAAGAGTCACTTGGTGAAAAGGCCATATAATAAGAGTACTGTATTTTATAATCTCCTTGGAAACTTTTTAGTCTGCAGTGTCATATATGCATGAAGTCCAAGTCATACACGTTAAAATATTAACAAAAATATTTATCAGTGAGCGGCAGGTCATGAAATTTTCATTTAGTTCTTAACTTTTCCAAAATGCAAAAACTTTATTTGTTTAAATTATAGTCTGGTAGCTATAGCAAATTTCAAATAGTTGCCTGGGCAGGGCCAATTATGAGGTTTACATCTGACTTCCCTGAGAGGAACACAAGAACAGCCAACACAGTATTCTGCATGACATTCTGCTTGTTGAACACAGATTGAATGAACTACCTAAAATTGATCCAAAAATAACCTTTTAGGGAACCCTAAGTGTCTTAAGTCTGTAGACACCAAACATAATACACACCAGCTGAAGAAGACTCCCTAAATACGCATCTTTCTTTTTTATTTTTTTGAGACAGAGTCTCACCATGTCGCCCTTGGTAGAGTGCTGCAGCGTCACAGCTCACAGCAACCTCAACGTCTTGGGCTTAAGTGAGTCTCTTGCCTCAGCCTCAGGCGCCCGCCACAAGGCCAGGCTACTTTTTGTTGCAGCTGTCGTTGATGTTTAGCTGGTTCAGGTAGGGTTTGAACCCACCAGCCTTGGTGTGTGTGGTCCACACCAGAACCACTGTGCTATGGGGTGTCACCCCATACGTCTCTTTCTTAAGTAAAAGCAAAAGGTTTCAATTATTTTGAGTTCACAGCCTGTAGGTTTTTAAAGACTCAAGAAAAAAGATAAAAAGAGAAGAGGAAACGAAAGCCTCTCCTCAGAGGCCCAGGTCAGGGATAGACTGTGCGCTCTAAGGCTGCCTGTCTCAGACATAAACACCGACTGAGTCACTTCCTCAGGCTGCTCCCACCTGAGAACATGCTGGGAGCAACCAAACCTCTGCAAGAACAAGGCAGGGCAAGTGAGCCAGGATGGAGGCACGTGGCAGGGCCTGACAGTGGACAGCAGGCCTAAGGACGGACGAAGCCTCCAGGGGCTCTGGAACCAGGGCCAGCAGAGGGGCCAGGAGCAGCTGGATGGAGCCGACCACACAGGAAGATGCCTTAGCTGCACCTGTGGGCCGTGCATCAGGGGTGTAGTCACATGCAGCACAGTGGGAGGGAGGGAGGTTTACAGCAAAGGCTAAAAACGGCTTCACCTCTTTGAACCTTTGTTTCAGTGTCCAATGAAAATTATCCAAGAGAATGCCTTTCAATCTGTAATGAGCTCTGAACCTTCTCATGTTCTTAATGTAACTGTTTCCTCCATTAAGGTCCAATTGGCTTGGATGTGTTTTGTAAAATAAAGAAAAAGGCTTCAGAGCAGTTCTAGGCTGGTGGAATGTCCTCACAAACACAAGAGTGCAAGGCCCACTCCCGCTCGCTCACTGCTGAAGATGGAGAGGCCCCACCACCCCTCCACCTGTTTCCTGCATTCACTGGTTTGCCAGCCTAGACCCAATCTAAAGTTCTTTTCCTTTATAATGACAAAACAATACAACAAATAATGAAAATCCCCAGTACAATCTCACATCTGCAGCTTCCTCTGCACTTACAGACCATAATTGTCTAATGACAAAAAGCATCAAAAGCAAATCAATTCCTTTTGTGTCATTTGAAGAAAACTATATCTGCCAATGAACAATTACTGAGGTCAGTACCCAAGGTGCTATCAGCCCTCAGGTCACCCATCCAGTAGTCAGGAAATCAACAGCTTCCTGCTGGTATTTAAAGCCATGTGTGATCGGCATTTCTGTTTGATTTTCCAGCATTACATATTAAAAGTCACAAAGTTGGTATAACCTTTGACAGGATAAATCTACGTATTTATCCTAATAACATAGTAACAGAAAAAAATGCTAAAAAATTCTCCTATAGTAGTCCATAAAAATAGGAATAGTTTACTCCATAATAGATTCATTTAAGCAAAATAAATGTATTGTCTATATACCAAATACTGTATCATTTAAAAATGACCATTATAAAGATTCTACTGCAATAGAATAAAAAAGTTTAAGTGAGAAAAGAAGACAGATAAGGTCAAATATGCACATTCTGCATTCAAATTCCTTAATATACAGCTTTCGCACAGGAGTAAACATCAACATTAAACATTCTTACTAAAAACTTACAGAGTTGTCATTAAAATTTTAGAAACTAGAACAAAGTTTAACTTTCTCAGAAACAAACTAAGCTTGTCCCTAAAAAGAAATATCACATGGGCTGAGTGCCATCCACCCAGCCTGGTCCTTGGACCTCACAAGTAGCCCGGTCTCTCTTCTCCTCAAGACCCTGTCCTTCATCATATCAAAAGTGATGCACAGGCTCTAAATTATCCTAATTACTTTTAAGGAATTTTTAACTCTCCTACCCATAAGTCTATCTCAGCCTCCTCAGAACTAGCTGAACAGACGCACTGTTTCCTAAACGCCATGTGGCCACTGCCTTCTGTGCTATTTTATCTGTCAGTCACAAACCCAACACCATTATCACTTCAGTAAAAGCACTGAAGTGGTGGCCCAAAGAGGTCTCGCTTTGATTCCTCTATCTCTGCTATAAAATTGAGAACTGATTCTTCAAATTATTACAGGAATTTACAATCGTTGTTTGCTGATAGGCCTTAAACAGTCCTTATCAGACGAAACCTATAAACTCATAATCAAACATACAGGCTCACAGGGACCTGTCTCCACAGCTTCTTAAAAATCATTAGAGCTATCAGTTCTAACCTGAGAAAGTAAACAAGACTCCCAGCCAAGAGAAACTCGCTCCACTGCTCTCGTGTTCTCATAAATCATGGCTCTAGAATGCCTTTCAGTATCTCCATCCCACCCAGCACCAACAGGACTCTCACCCTACCAGCAATTAGGCTGTCCCTCCTCCAATGCTGCCTGGCCCTTACTCCATGGATTTGTTTTTTGTGTGTGTGACAGAGCCTCAAAAGCTGTCACCCTTGGTAGAGTGCTGTGGCATCACAGCTCACAGCAACCTCAAACTCCTGGGCTTAAGCAATTCTCCTGCCTCCACCTCCCAAACGGTTGGGACCATAGGCATCCGCCACAATGCCTGGCTATTTTTTGGTTGTTTTGGCTGCAGATGTCATTGTTGTTCAGCAGGCCCAGGATTCGAACCCGCCAGCTTAAGTGTATGTGGCTGGTGCCTTAGCTGCTTGAGCCACAGGCACCCAGCCACTCCATGGACTTTTTTTTGTTGTTGTTGAGATAGAGCCTCAAGCTGTCCCCCTGGGTAGAGTGCTGTGGCATTACAGCTCACAGCAACCTCCAACTCCTGGACTCAAGCGAGTCTCCTGCCTCTGCCTCCCAAGTAACTGGGACCTCAGGCGCCCGCCACAATGCCTGGCCATTTTTTTGGTTGCAGCCGTCGTTGTTTGGCGGGTCCGGGCTGGATTCGAACCCACCACCTTAGGTGTATGTGGCTGGCGCCTTAGCCAGTTGAGCCACAGGCGCTGAGCCTCCATGGACTTTTTAACATAAATATAGATAAAGAATCATTGATCTTTAAAGAGGACTCAACACCTGTCTCCACAGGGTCCCCACTATGTCCCAAACACATTGGCAGTGGTTCAGTATAGAAAGGCCAGCAGACAGATGGACAAGGACAGTCAGGCTAGTAAATGAACGAGGGGCATATCCAGAGGAAAGGACCCCTTGGCCCTTGAC